TGACCTAGAGGAGAGAGAAAGAGAGTAATTTCTCTCCTTTAAATTTTTTTATTTTTATTTTGACTTTTTAATCTATGACAAGGTTTTTTGGTCCTTTTAATATATTATGAGGGGTTTTGTGTCTTTTGTAGTATTTTTTGTTTTTTTTTTTTTGATTTTTTGTTTGGAGGGTAGGATAAGAAGTAGATGTAGCCTTTGGAGGGTATTTCAGCTATATCCCCGTTTTAAATGGGCCGGGCTTCAAATAAAAGTTCGTCTCCAAGGGCACATTTTATTTTGTGGAACAGATTTAAAGATTTATCTCTTGATATTTTATAATTTTCCATTTGAAATTTTTTTAACAATTTAATATTTGATTTGATTTACTTTGCAATTGTTATAATACTTACAAGATCTTTTAATATAATTACAGTTTCAGTACAGTTCTCAGCACGTGCACAAAAAAAAATACAAATTCATAGATAAATGTTTAACAAAGTTTTACAAAAGATGCAAACTTTCAGAGGGGTCAATTTCTAAAATACTCTCAATGTGTTACAAAAACACTTCTACTCCATCCTCCTCTTAAAAAAAATTTCAACATCCAATCTACTATCTTTTTTGTTAGATTACCAAAATAACCTTATAATATTATTTTATATTTAATTTTTAATTAAAAAAATCTCTCCTAAAAAAACCTAATTTCTCTTTCTTCTTTTTCTGGTTTCTCTTTCCTCTTTTTTTTTCCGATTTCTCTCTCCTCCCACCATTAATCTCCACCAAACTTTCTCTCTCTTATGTGTTTACTCTCTTTTTTTTTTCTATTTTATCTCAAAAATCCGATGAAATTGGACGAAATTAAGTGTAAATCAATTAGACAATTAGAAACATATAAACTACTGTCAAAATATCGATTTTTTCATATATATTTATGGATCTTGTTATTCTTTTCTTCTAATTTTTTTATGTTTTCGTTGTTTTAACATTTGTAATATGTTATAGTCATATATATGTATCATATTATGTTATGACAATTCTGATTATTATGAAGGTTGTATTATTGAAGATGAAATTTTGCATATATTTGATTCGTATTGTGTTAAAACCTTTAAATAATATTGTGTTTGTATCATACCAATGTTTTTTTTTTGTATCATACCAATGTTGTATTATTAAAGATGAAATTTTGCATATATTTGATTCGTATTACACACTAAATAAATTGATTCACATGAGCCAACGTTGTGACCCATTGTGACTGGCATGTGACTATGTGACCGAAGTGCAATTTTACACTATGTGACCATTGTGACCGACTGTGACCCGTGACCAAAATGTGTTGATAAATATAGATCAAAATTTAATTTTAATGCTTTGGGGTAGTTTATTAGAGTCTATATATCAAATATATATTGTGTGTGAGAGAATTTCAAAATATTTTAAGGGAATTGTGGAAGAAATATACCAAATTTGTCAAAAATATTCATAAAACATTATGAAACATATAGGAACACATTTGAAATAGCAACTTTGAAACCAAAAAACCGCAAAAACCATATTTTAATATTCAAAACAATATAAAATAGGCTTATAAGAGATATGTGACGTTGTAGGTTGATTAAATTGACAAAAATTGCATGGATCGAAGGTTGTGACCGGTTGTGACCGATTGTGATCCATTGTGACCAAAATATATCGTGGAGCCCACACGAAGAAGTAGAACTAGTCAGAATTTTTTTCAGATTTTTGTGTTTCGTGGGGTCCAGTTTGAATATTCAACCCCCTCTTTAACCTTATATTTTTTTTCTTTCAAATTTTACCCAAATTTTTTCCCTCCCAAAATTTTTCAAATTCAATTTTAACCTCAAATTTTTTCTTATCCAAATTTTAACCCAAATTTTCTCCTTTTTAAATTTAAACCCCAAATTTTTTTTCTTCACAAATTTTAAGCCCAAATTTTCACCTACAACATTTTAAACCTATAATTTTATGTAAAAAACATTAAGAAGTTCAGATTTTTTTATAAATACATAAAAAAGATAATGTCAAACAAACAAAAGTACTCTTAAAAAGGGTTCAAAATAACATAAACATATAATTTGGTTCATTGAAAAAAAAGGCACCACAAATTTGTATAATAATTACGTGGTGTATTTGTATTATAATGTGTTACAAAATATTTGTACAATAATATAAAAGATTTTTTTGTTAATGATGTTGTAATGTATTTGAACAATATAGTGTTATAACTTTTATATAATATTGTATTTGTAACATAATAATATTATATTATTGAAGATAGATTTTCGCAATTATTTAATTCGTGTTACACACTAAATAAGCAAACTCACATGAATCAATGTTGTGACCCATTGTGACCAGCATGTGACCATGTGATCGAAGTGTAATTTTGCACTGTGTGATCACTGTGACCGATTGTGACTCGTGACCGAAATATGTTAATAAATATGGACCAAATTTTAATTTTTAAGCATTGGGATGATTTATCACAATCTATATATCAAATATATAATGTGTATGAAAAAATTTCAAAATATTTTAAAGGGTTTATAGATGAAATATACCAAATTTATCAAAAGTACTCATAAAACATTATGAAACATATAGAAACACATTTGGAATAATAACTTTGAAACATAAAAATCATAAAAACCATATTTTAATGTTCGAAATAATATAAAATGGGTTTATGAGAGATGTGTAGTATTGTAGAGTGATTAAATTAACAAAAATCGCATGGATCGAAGGTTGTGACCGGTTGTGACCGGCTGTGACCGAAATATATTGTGGAGCCCATACGAAGAACTAGTCAGAATTTCACCAGATTTTTATGTTTTGCGGGGCCCATAATTATTGTTTCTATTTTTACTTTTGATGTGGGTCTAGTTTGAATATTCAACCCTACATATTTTTTTTCTTAACCCTATATTTTTTCTTTCTTAATTTTTAACCCCAAATTTTCACCTACAATATTTTTAACCCAAAATTTTGTGTAACACATTAAAAAGTTCAATTTTTTTATGAATAAAATTAATATATTTTGGTAGGTCTATTTTCACATAAAATCATCTAAAAAATACAAATTTTTTGGTGATGCCTATTTTTTTCTCCAATTTGAATTCAATCCTATATTTTTTTCTCTAACATTTTAAACCCAAATTTTTTCTTAAAACAATTTCAACCCAGATTTTCCCCTAAAACATGAATAAATGTAGATTTTTAATAAGTAAAACATGAATAAATGTAGATTTTTTCCTCTAAATATTTCAACCCAATTTTTGTTTTCCATAAACAAGTTGAAATATATTAAACAACTACAAAAAATAAAAGTTCATAGTTAGGATTCAAATGTGGGGCCCAATTTGAATATTCAATCCTATATAATTTTTCTCTTAACACTATATTTTTTTCTCCTAATTTTTAACCCCAAATTTTTTTATCTACAACATTTTCAACCCAGAATTTTTTGTAAAATATTAAAAAGTTCAGATTTTTTATAAACAAAATTCAACATATTTTGGTGTACTCCACTTTCACATATAATCATCTAAAAATGCAGAATTTTTTGTGAGGCCCATTTTTTCTCCACTGTAAATTCAACCCTATATATTTTTCTTCCAACATTTTAAGTCCAAATTTTTCCTTACAACAATTTCAGTCCAGATTTTTTTTAAAATATAAATAAGTTTAGATTTTTAATAAACAAAAACCAAAAATAAAAATTCATAGTTGATTGCAAAAACACTGTATTCACAAGCGTTATCATTTTTGCGGTAGTCTTTCCACATACTGAATGTTGAGTACATCGCCATCAGAGAAAGCTTCTGATCCAGCCAAGAGATACGCCTTTGGAATGAGATGACATAACATATGTCAGCAATATCTAGATATTACCGTATGACACTATGACCATGTGATCATGTGACCGAGTGACCATGTGACCGTGTGACCATGTGACTATGTGACTATGTGACCAGGTGAGCCACAAGGCTGTATAAACTTACAATATTTGTGATTCATATTCCGTGTGACAAAATCTCTTTCTAGAAACTTGGACTCCGTAATGTATCCAGTCCTGACTTCCAACCACTTTATGATTGTGACTGTGTCACCTTGTCTTTCGAATCCTCATGTTATCCATACATCCAAACATCGACTCATATAGTATTGTGACCTATATGATTGTCATAAATGATACTATCACCGAAACTCACCAATTTCACCCAATTTAATTATAAACTTTCAAACCCAACATTTTATTTCAAAATCCACAAAAATTCAAAAATATCCAAATTCTTAATACTTTATCGGATAAATCTCGAAGCCACCTTCAATTCAATGGCAAGAAATCTCAAAATCAAACAAATCTGAAAAGAAATCAAAGTTTAATTACCCTACGGTTTTCATTTTCATTCGAAGATTATGAGGAAGATGAACTTGAATCATATCATTTGCTCTCATCATTACTTTTTCTTTCAATCTTTGATGTAGCCTAAGATTTTAATGGATAAACAAAAATTAGGAGAGGAATCGAGGTTTAAAGAACAAATCGAAGAGAATGAGGAGATTTTAGCGATTTTGAGAGGGAACAAAAAAAAATTGAAAAGAAAGATGAAAGTAAGAGAGAGAATGGATGAAGATGTCCAGATAAAAAAATGAAATAACATAAAGGAGAGAGAAAATATTAATAAAATATTATATCAAATGAGGGACTTGAGTCTTTACAATTTTATTTAGAGTTATATTTGTCCTTTGTAGTGTAAATTTAATTTTTTTTTTTAATTTATTGTTTGGAAGGTAGGATCACAAGTCGAAGTACCAGTCAAAGGTATTGCAGGGAAATCTATTTCCCCGTTTGAGAGATTAGTAGAACGATGACGTCATTTGAGACGTAATGCAAAAGTCATAGTCTTGGGTTAAGGCTCACACACAGCCTCGGAGCTCCAATGGGCCCTTTTTTTGGGTCGAACTCCAATTACATGGAAAAATGAATTTAGGGTTTTGTTATTAATAAGCGACATCGCCGGTCTCCATTTATTTTTTCTGTTAGGGTTTCTCCATCGATCATCGGCGGAGTCGAGCGAAGAGATCGGCATGGGGAGGAGTAAGTCTATCCCAGAATTTATTTCTTTTTCCCCTCTGTTTGATCGACTTATCTTCGGAATCTTTATTCGTTCAATCGATTTCTGGTTGTAGTTCCCTGATTTTTTTAATAGATCCTTTACGTGGATCTCAAATTTTGTTGAATGTTTAACTTATTTGAAGTTGTACTCTCAGCGATTTCGTGGGGAATGAGTTTTATCGTCATCCTATGTTCTCGTCTTATTTTGGGTGAAATTGGAGGAAATGATGGTTTTGGGTTATTATGTAGAGAACACGAACGAACTGATTATTGAGGATTAGTATTTGTTTTTCAGAAAATTTTGTAGATCCGATCTATCAGTAAGATATCACCGAATGCTTGTTGTAGCTTGTTACTGTATAAGCGAACTTCAATCACTTCTGGAACAATTTTTTTCGTTTGCCGATTTCCAAACATGTACGTATATATGCTCAGATTTAGGGAATTTTGTTCGCTGTTTATTGAAGATTGAATTTTTTTAGCTGGGAATTCATGTCTTTTGAATCTGTATATGATGAGTTCGTATATATATATATATATGTATCAGTCGGTTGTTTGGTGTCCGATTAAAGGATTTTGTCTGTTTATTGAAGCTTGAGATATTTTTTAGCTGGGAATTTATGTCTTTAAACCTGTGTATGATGAAGTCTGTATATTCTTGCTCTAATTTATCAATGTAGAAGCAAGTTCTCGTTCTTGTCTGAGGATAAAATTCCTAATGTTGGAATGCGTATATATGTATCTGTAGGACCGGCTAGGTGTTACCGTCAGATCAAAGGGAAGCCTTACCCCAAATCCAGGTACTGCCGTGGTGTTCCTGACCCTAAAATCAGGATCTACGATGTCGGCATGAAGAGGAAGGGTGTTGATGAATTCCCATTCTGCGTCCACTTGGTGTCGTGGGAAAAGGAAAACGTGTCAAGCGAGGCACTTGAGGCTGCCCGTATCGCCTGCAACAAGTACATGGTCAAATCTGCCGGAAAGGATGCATTCCATCTCCGTGTTAGGGTTCACCCCTTCCACGTCCTTCGTATCAACAAGATGCTTTCGTGTGCCGGAGCTGATAGGCTCCAGACTGGTATGAGAGGTGCTTTCGGGAAACCTCAGGGAGTATGTGCTAGAGTTGCCATCGGGCAGGTTCTTCTTTCCGTTAGATGCAAGGACAATCACGGGCACCATGCTCAGGAGGCTCTTCGTCGTGCTAAGTTCAAGTTTCCCGGCCGTCAAAAGATCATCGTTAGCAGGAAGTGGTAATAATGTTTGACATGGTCATATCTCGAGCAGCTTATGGATTTCGTTATCGTCTTTTCTTTTCTTTATCTGTATAGAGCGCGTGTGACAGAAAGCGTTTTCCAAATTTCAGGGGATTCACCAAGTTTAGCCGTGCGGATTACTTGAAGTTGAGGCAAGAGAAAAGGATTGTTCCTGATGGTGTCAATGCTAAGGTTTGTAAAACTTGCTCTGTTTGCGTCTTTGAACTTCCCTTCTAAGACATTCCACATTCTCTACTGCTTCTTGTAGTCTTTGGTCGGAACCTTCTTTTGTTATTGTTACCTGAAATCTCAATCCTTTTGGTTGTGGCAGTTTCTATCATGCCATGGTCGGTTGTCGGCCCGTGAACCGGGGAGAGCGTTCTTGCCGGCCACCGCATAGATTGTTTGCTGTGGTGAATTATGGTATGTAGAAGTAGAACGGAATATATATATCCAATTTCTTTTTTTTTATTTGGCTGAACCTCTCTTTGTAGTGTTATTATAAAAGTCGGAAGTTGAAATTTGACAATATCCTTTATTGGATTCTCATAACGGATCTACTCTTCGGCCCATTTGGTTCCTTGTTATTAGTTGATGGGCCTCTGTTGGCCCAATTATAGCCCACGGCGGGCCTGTCTACAAAATTAATTTAGAATGTCCTTCGGTTAGTGTTAATGGGATTTTCTTATGAAACTCTCTCAAGTTCCATGGAAGAGAAGTTTTCCTCACTGAAAAGAAAATTTGGAAGTTTTGTCCAAAATTCCAATACGTAACTTGACTAAATAAAATGAATAGCTTAAGGGAAATGAAAGTGAACATGCAAATTAAGTTTTACGTATATCTTATATTTATAATCTGAGGGATGTTTTAAAAGTTAAATTATTGCGATGAAAATAAGAGGTTGATTGTTTGCTTGGGTTGTTGCTTGGCATACACTAAAAAAAAAAAAAACTTTTTAAAGCCCAAGTTATGTGCATGTTTATCTTTTATCCTTGGAGTTAATTAATACAAATTTTACGCTATAATCAAATATGGTTTAGCTAAAATATATATATGTGCAATCGGAAAACTATATTAGATATTTATTTACTTGTTTAAAAAAAATATAATTAAAAGACAGACAAATGTAACGTACAATATACGAATAAACGAGATAAACTCTTTTTGTTTTTTGACAAATAAAATTTAAACGCAATTTGCATCAAATATTATTGATCAAGAAATTTCTCCTTGAACTTTTCTTGGTTTTGTCCTTTCCATAGACAATTAAATAAAACCAGCCACTTGTATTTTGTTTTGTTGTTGTTATAGTTAATTTATGTCATTATTTGAGAAATAAAAATAAAAATTTAAATAAAGGAATGTGGACAATTAACAAAGCGGACACGATACGATCCTTTCATTGTCAAATGTCAAATTCTCCTTTTAACATCAAAGAGAAAATCAATCGTGTAGTTAATCAATCACTCTTCCTCTCTCTGAATCATTTATGCTATAATCATTTCTGCAATATAATTTTAATAATTAACGTCGAAACTATCATATTCATTTTTTTATGACAATGTTTCTAAATTCTCGGAGATTACTAATTTAATAATTATTGATGTCACGCACAAGTGAAACATCAATGGACCGACCACTTCATAATTTATAACCAGATATTATTTGATTTATCAAATAATCATACCGAAAGGTGGTTACAAACAAGCATATATATATATATATATATATATATATATATATATATATATATATATATATATATATATATATATGTGTGTGTGTG